TGTAGAGCAGAGGGAGTGAAGTGTGTAAATTAACTGCTGAGATAGGGAACGGGTACATGTGGGGCTGGAATGGACAACAGAATTAATTAATTAGAAGGCTGAGAATTGGAAGGAAGCTACAAGTTCTGTGTGAGCAGCAATGAGAGTTTTGGCAGGTGAAACTTGAACCACCTCACCGTAAGCAGTCAGGAGAGCTGGCAACATGGTAACTGCCGCATTGACTGGGGATTTAAAAAAGCTAAAGAAAGATCCCCCCCGCAAAATCACAATTTTCTCTTTAAAATGATCTAATGATATGGGGGCTGATCTCATGATTTTTGGAGTCTGATTCATTATTTTTGAACATTTTGAGGTTCACAGTAGGAGCCCTAATCTCTTCCACATGGGAATAACCTGTATAGGTGAGCAGAAATTCCATGCATTTCCGTAGAGTCTCCCATTTGAGTAGAGAGCCAAGACTTACTCCCACTGCTTTCTGTCAGACACCAAGGCCACGTGTACACGGCAGGCTTCTTGCGCAAGAACTGTTTTGCGCAAGCATTCTTGTGCAAAAGGTCTTGCAGAAGAGCGGGCCCTCACTGCCATGTGCATTTGCGCAAGAGATGTGCTTTTATGCAAGTGTGTCTATGGCAGTGTGGACGCTCTCTTGCGCAAGAAAGCTCTGATGGCCATTTTAGCCATAGGGGTTTCTTGAACAAGAAACCCGTAGCTCGTCCACACTGCCTTCTTGTGCAAGAGCTCTTGCGCAAGAGGGCTTATTCCTTGTGGGGAGAGGAATAACTCTTGGAACAGAGGGCTTCTTGCGCAACGCTTTATTGTAAATTTACTTGCGCAAGAACGCGTGTGCAGTGTAAACACTCTGCAAGTTTTTGCGCAAGAACAAAAAGCCTGTAGTGTAGACATAGCCCAAGAGTTTGAAACCCCCAAGTCTGAGGGAGGGAGGTGGGCTTGATAAACTAGAAGTCCCTCTCCTCTGGACTGCTGCTTGATCCTTTTAACTCCCTGCACAGGCCCATGTGCAGGAATTTCTGTGGGGGAGGCTTTTTTGTAAGTATGGACTGGAAGAGCATGAATGCACCTCCCAAGGTCCCTCAAGTAAGCAGGGAAATCATCCCCAGCCTTCCCCTGGCTGGCCAGAGCATTGGGGAGGGAAGCTTAGGCAGTGCACCACTCCCATCTTCCCCTGGCTGTCTGGACCATGCTTACTTGGGAGTCCAAAGAGGTGTGTGTGCTTTTGCACCTTTCATGCCCTCTGTACAGCCAGGCCTGCTGCAGTCTCTTTCCAGTGCAGTACCTGCAGGAGCCATGCTGCCAAGGGCTTTCTGGTCTGCAACTGGCATGGGAACTCCTGTTAAAGAATGGGATGCAATCTCTTGCAGGTGTGTGTGTGTGTGTGTGTGTGTGTAAGTATAAAAGAGCATCGGTTATCACAGATTGTGTCTAATCTCAAGAGGAAGCAGAATTGTGCTCCTCTTCTGCCTGTTTGACACTTTTCTGTCAGTGGGATATGGCTGTCTATTCAGAAGTTTTAGCCCAAAATGGTTTTTTACCCCTATGAGATACTGCTGTGGTAGGCCTGTCCTTTTGAACAGAGGTGTATGGTGTAAGACAGTCTCACACACACATAATAAAATATTGAAAGTTGGGGAGGGAGAGCTCACCCAGGACTATACCCATCATATGGGAATGAATCTGAAAGAGTCTTACTGTAAAGAACTCCGAGCTGAGGAGCAGTGCTTTTACTGTTTCTTTATCCAAACCTTCCATGAAAGCAGGAAATTTCACCATCTGTTCAGTAAAAAGAACATGACATTTCCTGTGAATTCCTATATTCCTAAAGAATTAACAGACTGGGCTATAAATATAGCCATTACAATCACTTACATTAGGAAGTAACCATCCGAATTCATTGTTATTTACTCCTATTATATATGGGACTGCATTAATTTTTTTTTCAGCGAGTAGCTCCTCAGGGCTTTTGGGAAGAAATACACCATCCATAACTGCAGAGATAAACATGGACTGCAAAGAAAAAAAATTCTTTGTTATTTATAAGTTACTGGATTCCCACTGCAGACCTCAACCAAGCTGAGGGGAGCTCATATGTTATTAGTAAAAGGGTGAGATGTGACTGTAAGAGAGGAATACACATTGCAAGCTGTGTTCTGAGTTTCTCCTGCAGATTTTCTATCCTGTTTAACCATGTGTGCTCTGTCCAGGGCTGTCTTTACCCATATGCAAAGTATGCAATGGCGTAGGGCACCCAAAAAATTGGGGAACCACTAAGTCTTAGGCTACATCTCTACTGTACCTCTCTTGTGCAAAAGCTTATGCAAATGAAGCACATATTAGCACATTGCCACGCTTCACCTGCATAATTAATTAGGGGCCGCTTTTGCGTAAGAGGCTTTTGTGCAAAAAGGAGCTGTGTAGATAAGGAGCTCCTTTTCTCAGGAAGAACGGCTCTTGCGCAAGAGGGGGTTTTTGCACAAAAAGGAGCCATCTACAAAAGCCTCTTGTGCAAAAGGAGCCCCCAATTATGCAAATGAAGCATGACAATATGCTAATCTGTGCTTCATTTGCATAAGCTTTTGCACAAGAGAGGCACAGTATAGATTATAGACTGTCTCTGTGTCCATCCACCCACCTCTTCCTGACACTGTTTTCTCTGGAAAGGCTCTAGTTAACTTAAAAGCCTTGTAGGCCTATTAGCAGAACATTGAACCTGTGAAAGAGCCATTTAAGTGACAATGAAGCCATTTAACTGGCATTTACCTAGTTCAGGTATATACTATCAGTTTCTGAATTTACTGTGTAGATCTACAAGTTTAGTTTAAAATATGCTTAAAATGTTACATTAGTGTTGCTCAGGATTATAAAATCACATCTCTAAAAAAATCGTCGTTCCTACCCCACCTGCCATTGGGCATATTAGGGGCACCAGTTTAATAGTACTGCATAGGGCTCCATAAATCCGAAGGATGGCTCTGGTTCTCACCTTTGTATGTTAAATGCTCATGGCACAGAGAAGTCAGTCAAATTCCATCCATACTTATACTATTTCATCCCTATTGGGTCTACATACATATAAATAAGGGCAAAATTAACTTATGTTGGGGGATTGCAAAACAGTGCAGTAAGCTAATCTAGTGATGGGGAAAACCATGTAAGTGGGGCAAAAAATTGCAATTTTGTAGAAAACAATAATTCTGCTGTTCTATCCCTTGTGCAAAGTTTTGATTACTCCATCAAAAACTTCCTGGATGCCAAGTGAAAGAGCCATCTACCCAGCCACAGTGGATTCATTTGGCTGATGACTTTAGTGGAAACAGTGCAGTAAGCTAATCTAGTGATGGGGAAAACCATGTAAGTGGGGCAAAAAATTGCAATTTTGTAGAAAACAATAATTCTGCTGTTCTATCCCTTGTGCAAAGTTTTGATTACTCCATCAAAAACTTCCTGGATGCCAAGTGAAAGAGCCATCTACCCAGCCACAGTGGATTCATTTGGCTGATGACTTTAGTGGAAGAGGGGGCATTTGCCTATTGCACATTTTCTCATATACTTGTAGTCTCAAGCCTTCAGTTTTTATGTTTGTTCTATATGGGAATTGTGAGTTTTGGTATATGCTTGCAGGAATGGCTTCTCTTTCTTTAGAAAATGGTTACAGAGAATTCAAAGCCCAAACAGGAAATCAAAAGAGTCACCATTTCAGAGTCTCCAGAAGAAGCATTCAAGGGTAATCTTGTGTATTCCTGCAGAAGGCAAGAAGGAGGAAAAAAAAAAAAAAGGATGAGTTGTGTGATAGTTGCCACTCTCGATTATTCTAATCTTACAGCACATTTGGGTTCTTTTATTGCAGTAAAGAGTGTCACTGAAGACACAAATTACAGCGTCACCTATCATCTTAATTTCTTCCTGTCTTTTCCTTATGTTTGCTTCTGCTTAACAGCCAGCAGGGTGACCATAGGAATGGCCAAAGAATAGAACAGTGGTCCCTCTGCTGGCCTATCTGTGAGAATGCAATACACCAGATACTTGAAGGTGAATATCTCTAATATAGCACTCTAGTTATGGGGGAGGTGGCAGTTCACCCTGATCAACCGAAGCATAAGGATAGACAAGCTTTGACATTTTCATGTTTTTCAGATGTTGTTCTTAATACACTTTAAGTAGGGGCTAGTGATTTATCACTACAAGTTATATAAAAATAATGTGGTCATGGCAAAACAAAATCTAAGGTCATGAATATTGAGGAAAATGCCAGCATCATATTCTTTATATCCAAATGGTCTTTGTTTTGCAATATAAGTTGTTTAAAGCCATGCAATAACATTTAACAGATAATCAAGGTCGGGGTTTTCAAAGAAGTCTAAGGATACCCAAGTTTACTAGAGTTTGGACATTGAACTCCCATAGAATAGGGAATCCCACCCTACAACTATTTAAAATGGCCTTCCCAATGCCCATCAGTCCAGGAGAAGAGAACTCTCTCTCTGGACTGCTTCCCTGTCTGTCTCTGCCATGGCTGCAAGGACAATAGTGCTGTCTTGGTGCATCTCATACTTGCCCCATTACAGAAATCAGAGATAGACACCTTTCCCCAGCAATGACAAACTATTAGAGCTCCTGCTCGCCATGGGTAGCCAGGCTTTAACATGACGACTGCTCAGGTTCTCAGGGAAGTGAAGTCAGTTCTTTACTGCCACATTCACCACATGGCAAAACCCTCAAATGTCAATAGTTATAAAAATAAAAAAAAATAAAAATCAGAGGCCTTGATTCTGCCGACAGCCAGGGCAGAAAATGTACCATTAGCCAGACATATCTAATCTTCATTAGAAGCTTATTAAGGAACAGTATTTAGTTCTACAGTTTAATTCATATGTATCATGTAATAGCATTGCTGTTTAGCTGTTACCCAATAGTGAGTGCATTTGTGCTCTGGCTATAAAGAAGGCCAACACAAATAGTCCAATATATTCTCTATCACTCATTGCTTTATAAATGTCTGTCCTATCTCCTTTTACTCATTTTTCTTTCCAAGGGTAATGATCCTATTTATTAGGCATTGTTATATTAGTATTGGGATATCCAGTCACAATCAGGGCTTCATTGTGCCAGGCAAAGCAAATGCAAATGCAGGGGCCCTGCCCAAAAGCACTTATCTAGTATCTTTAACTCCTCCTCTAATCAAGCAGAAAGGGACTTGACAAGCATACTCTTGGACCCAACTTTGAAATCCTGTTTGCTTGCAGTAAAAGGTGAACACTTGCCACACACACACACACACACACACACAGTACCACTTACCATCTTTAGTGTTATTTCCATCATCTCTTCTTCTGTCTTTTCCCTTAGACAATGAACCATTGCAGCAGAGCTGGTTGATTGACAGCCAGATACCCTAGCAATTTTCTGCAATTAATTAAAAAGTCATTTTTAATAGCACTCTGTGGAGAACAAAGTTTAGCTCTCAGAAAACACTTTACCCTTCAGTGTGCTTTGTATACCGTAAGTTTCGGTTGTGTCTGGGATTCTGGCGTCACAGAATCCTCCTGTAAGAGTAAGGAAGTTCAAGTGTACATTCTGGAATGTGTGTTTCAAAAGCTTTTCAAGGATATGGCTGCAAATGAATCAGGGATCTGCCCATAGCTAAGCATCTCAGTGTAAGAGGGTTTTGTGCACTTGCTAGTGCAATTTGCTTTCTTAGAGCTGTATAAACATTAATTCATTGTCACAAAACCCCCCCATGTAGGAAAAACAAAGGCACAGAGGTTAAATGACTTGAGCAAGTCAGAGGGCCTGACTTAGCGCTCAGCTAAGATTGTAGAACAGACTCAGGCCACTTCTACACTGTGGGGGGGGTATAGGAAAGATCAGCTTAAGGTACACAACTCCAGCTACATAAATAATGTAACTGGAATCTAAGTATCTTAAGCCAACCTTGGTGTCATCTCTACAGTGGGAGGTTGATGGGAGAAATGCTCCCATCTATTTCCCTTACTCCTAGAGACAGCGTGGAGTTCTGGCGCCAACAGAGGAACTCTCAGCATTTGTTTTAGCTGGTCTTTACTAGACCCACTAAATCGAACCCTGGAAGATTGATCGCCAGAGTGTCAATCCTTCAGTAAGTGGAAACTGTCTCATTCTCTCTCTTTGTAAGTGGTCTAAGTGCCACTACATGGGACAATACACCACACCCAGAAGGAGTGTGGGTTACGTGGTTAGTGAGCGACCTTAGCTTCTCTCACAACTTGTGACTAGATTTACATTTGTTGCTCAGTAGTGGACTCAGCTGAGCTAGGGACAGCAGAGCAGCTAGCTGAGAGGGAACCTCTGGGAGTCTGCCTATTGACTACCCCTGCTGCAGTCTAGCCACAAAACCACAATAACTTTGTTTACAATGGGATGCTGGGGCCCATATCTTTTCAAAAGTGGGAGTTAAGTCTAAGCTAGAAACATGTACATACATGTGCCTCTGTGGATTTGAACATGCCATTATTTTAAGTCCACATATAAATGGGTATTTGAGAATCAAAATATAAGCCATGCAGTTTTCTTATTTCCAAAAAGAAATGTAGGTGCTCATATCTACATTTTTACAGGTGCAAATCAGGTCCCAGTTTTTACAAATGTAGACTCAATATTACAAAGAACATACATTAGCTTGTGCTTCAGGATGAGCGGTAAACAAAGCCTTGATTGCAACTCCACTCTCTGAGATGGCCTTATGGAACAAGCCCTTTGCCAGAGGAGATAAGACCTAAAAAGCAGGAAAAGAGGGAGTGTACAAACAGTCTATTTTGATCACGAACTGCAGTGTCAGGAATTACCCGTATATTAGTGAATATAACCTGCAGGTTATATACATTTTTACAAACCCTGCCTCCTGCAGGATGTACATGTCCACGTCTTATACAAGTTGATTTTTACTCCTTGAAATCCCCCTGGGAGCATCAGTTCCCCTAAGCTTTTCTGCTCCCCCCCCATTAGAACTGGGTCAGCTCTGCTGCAGGGGTGCAGGAAGGGCCTGACAAGCTTCCAGCATGCCTGCATTGTGCTCTCCGTTCCCCCCGCCTGGAGGAGGGTGGGTGGCACCTGGCTGCGGCTGCGCGGGCAGGGCCTGGGCGCGAGCACGGCTCCCCTCCTGCAGGCCGGCTGGCTCACTGGCAGCAGGATGGCCATCACCTTGTGTCTGCTCTCTATGCTGGGCGGCTATCTCCTCACCTCGGCGCTGCTGCTCTAGTGCCAGCACTTCTGATGCCGCCACATCTCCCACCGGGCACCAAAGACCACCTTTTATGAAGGAGGCAGAAGTCTCTGCGGGTTACATATGTCCGCAGATAATCTAATTTTTTTTAAACACGATAGAAAAGCTGCAGGTAATACATGCGTGCGTGTTATACATGGATGCGGGTTATATTCACTAATTTACGGTACATTTGAATACCATTATTTCAGTTTTAAAAGTAGTTGCAAGGTTTGATTTACTTCCAAACCCACACAGCATAGTGCAGATTATCCTCTTGATTCTAAATATGCTGAGTAACTAACTAACTAACTAATCATGTGGCATGTAATGGAGCCCAGATGCATGTCTATCTGTTATGTGCTGATACCATGGTTGCTCACCTAGACTGGGTGAAAGTATATGCAAGTGATCCTTAATGCAGATCTTAGGCACTAACTTGGAATTTTTACATTGGGGTGAATTTTATTCTCTGTGGCCACAATTTCGCACCCTATGTCAGCTGTTTAAAATAATGCAGTACTCAAGTTAGCTAAAGGGGAATCAATACTTGGTCTGTTAAAACAAATAGGAGATTATATGAAAAAAGAATTTAATCAATTAAGAGATTCTACAATATCAAACTCTCTGTTAAAGAAGTTTGATGTCCAGTGATTCCCAGCTTCTTCAACCTCCACTATTATCATCCCTCTCCTCATCTCCCTGACTTTTTACTCACAATACAAATATGGGGCAGTTTTTAAAGTCATTAGCCATCACTGTAAACTTACAAGGGCAGAAACGCTGACTCCTCCCGCGGACTCGCCAAATATAGTGACAGATCCTGGATCTCCTCCAAAATACTCAATATTTTCTTGAATCCACTGAAGAGCTGCCACTTGATCCAAATAGCCCCAGTTTCCACGAGCATGTTCATCACCAGAACTGATAGCAAGAGAACAGAAAGGGAAATAGATTTGCCTGGAGTTTTATCACATTCATTGTGTTATATAAAATATAGCCAAGGATAATATTTCAGCTGGCAATGAAGCAAACGCCTGAAATTGGAGCTGTTGGCAGTGTCAGAAAACAAGTGAGAAAACACTGAACTTTGGAAAACTCAGGTGAGGACTAGCATCAGTTATCTAAATCACACTCCTAGCCCTAGATGCTAGTGGAGCATAATCTAAGGCAGCGTTTCCCAAACTACGGGCTGCGGCCCGTTACCGGGCTGTGGGAAAAGAATACCGAGTCTCAGCGTGGCTGCCAGGGTGTTCCGGGCTCCTGGACTGCCCGTGCAGCGCCAGGTCCCCCAAGCCCTCAGCCGGGCTGGGCGGATGCAGCCGTATGTTTCAGGCTCCCAGCAGGGGCATAGTGAGGGTTACCAGGTGAGCTCTTATTTCTGGCTGTGGAGGGGAGAGGAGGGGTTGGTTATGGGCCACAGGGAAGCAGGGTCGGGGCAGTGGAGATGCCCGGGGGAGATAGGGAGGGGAACCGGTGGAAGCAGGGCTGGCCAGGGCAGATCGCAGGGGTGTGAACCGGCTGGCGGGGGCAGTGAAGCTGGCTGGGGGAGATGGCAGGGCAGGACTGGTGGGGGGTAAGTGGGACTGGCCAGGGGAGATCACGGGAAGGGGAGGACTGGCTGGGAGTAGGTGGGCTCGCCGGGG